ATTTCAAATATCTTCCCACAGGCCAAAAGTTTGCTGTTTCTGCTGGCAGGACCCTATTGCTGCCCTGTAGAGTATCTACAAAAGCCAAGCAGAGGTGGTTCTTCAAGAAAGATAGTCATGCGAAACAGGAACCCATTTCGACTCTGTTAAAAAATGGAACCGTGAAAAGGGAGAGTGAGGACCCGCAGAACAGGTTGTCCTATGATTAAGATGGAGCCCTGCAGATCCTCAATCTGCAGCCAAGGGACTCTGGAGAGTATCTATGTAATGGGGAAACGGCAGCTAAAGTAACAGTGTTGACAGGTAGAGCTTTCCAAATGGCATTTTATCTATTTATTTGTCCATGTTTTATTTTAACAGTGACATTTTCATTTAGTTAAAAGATCAGGCTCAACAATCATCTTTATCACTTGCTAGGAAAAGCAGTGAGAGAAAGTGTTGGGGGAACCACACTTTAGAAGCCCCTCTAATGCCATTCCCCTTTAATTTAAAATGTCATGCTTATGCATAACCTTTTTTTTTTTTGCAAACCCAGATCACCTCAACATCCAGAGTACCACTGCTGTTATGAAAACAGGTAACACACAGCAACACTATGCAATTCTAATTACAAGTATGAAAGTAACACCAAAATCCAGGGTTTTAACTGTGTGCTGTGAAAGTAAATTCCATGACTAATATTCTTCACCTATTTTCAGATGATGTTGGGAGAGCGAACAAAGAGACAGGCCCTACAAATGGTAGGTTGTCCACGGACATTCTGACAAATTAGACTAAATGAAAAGTAATTCAAAACTCTGTTTTTGCTCTTTGTGGTGAAACTAAAGTGGCAGTGTGTGTTGGTCAAAACTGAGGGTCTTGAAAAACAAGAACATAAGTGGCACCCATCTTTGTTTGCCGTTAGCAACCCTCTGTGCTGTGCTCGCTACAGAGAGCACGAACTAGGCTTTCATCCTGCTATCTTTAATACAGGTGACATTTTCACATATTGAACTGTGCTTTTGTCTTTCAGTTGTGGTGATGATAGCTGTCATTGGACTATGCGTCGTGGTGCTTTTGGCTGGTATGCTGTGCCTTTTGCTGATAGGCAGACTGAGCAAAAGAAGAAAGAATTGCAGTACAGGTAAAAATGTCTAAAAACTCTGTTACATTATATGCCTCTGATCTTGTTTGTACAAGCCTTTAGGTTCATATTAAGCGATTAAATTGGCCAATGCTGTCATGCAACAACCTTTTGACAAACATGTGACATGATTACTGTATTTCCTATAGTGACAGGACACAAGCAGGAAGGAACTGAACTCCAGACTAGGTGCTTGTCAAATCTAGGTAAAGAACACTGTCTAATTATTTGCTAACAGAATAGTCCCTATAGTAGGGTTTGTGTAGTATATGTGCATTCTCCCAACAAGTATTGCTCTCATGGAAAACAAATGATTGTATCATATTTTGTCTTATAGGGTCTGAGATCACACAGGGAGATGGGCAAGATGTGAGTACAAATGAATACCGCTCACTGGAAACTGAAAGCATTGCTAAAATGAAAATATTTGTATGTTTCCGTGTGTGTCTCAGGGCCCTTCTCATGTGGAAGACAATGAGGTTCAGTATGCATCTCTGGGTCGGCAGAACTGGAGGGAAAGGTTGAGGGTACAGGGAGACCAGCATCACGTCATCTATTCCGCTGTGGTCACTGCTAGACCAGCATTCCAGGGTTTGAAGAGGATAAAACATTGATTTGACTGATGACCTTTACCAGACCATTCATATTTTACTTCTTTGTATTACAGTATGACTACATTTTACACAGGTTGCTCTTTAATATTATAGTGCATTTATTTTTTGTCTTTCAAGATACCCAAGATACTATTATTTTATTCAACTAATTCTATATCCTGTTGCCTCAATGTTTTTATTGAGATTCTTTGGAGAACATTAACAATAATTATTACATTAGCCTTTTCAACATTTACAGAAACACACATACCTGTACAAATCAAAATACAACCCTATTTCCATCAATAATGGATATTCAAAGAACCATGTCAGCTGTGCATGTGATGCATCATGCGCCTGGATGAACACATTGGGCTACTGTTGCATAGGTGACGTCTCCCTGGGCCAATCCTGGCACTCCCTGAGCAGTGGGGCGGGCCTTACCAGTGTGCTTCAGACTGGCATAGTGCAGACTCACTTCCTATGAAAAACATATCATGGTTAGAGATTAAATATTAACATCATGCCATCCAAACCTCTCAGGCGTACATTTACAGTTAGATAAGGTTTAGTCCTAACTATTATGACTTAAATCATTTACAGAAGTACTTTTACCTTGAGACTTGAATTCCTGTTCACACAGGTGCTGCACCAAAATTTAGTTTTACCTGAAAGAGGGAACAATTTAGTTTTAAAGGGGCAATCTGCAGTTCAAACAATAAAAGGTTACCCCATGCAAGGACTGTGATATTCTTCAAGAATCAATGGGTACATACATTTTTTTACTTTTAAAATAATGATATGTAACAACTGCAGATTTGTAAAAGACTAACTTTGGTTTTGGAGTGTAATGTCTCTTTAAGTAAACTTGTCAAACTTGAGATACGTTCAAAGTATTAACTATTTGATTGAGTTTGCATTCCCTGCTGTCTTTGCAAATGTTAACGATGGGGAAGCAGCGTTTACTCTGGGGAAAGGAGCAGTACGTCAGACCCTGCGGCTGGAACCGCATGGCCCTGAAGGTTTTGAACAAATAGAGGGATGGAGATGGATGGTTGGGGACTGGCGACGAGGCCTGGCCAGTGGCCTACCACAGACCTGCTATGGACGGATCCCAGGGCATCATCAGGAATGATGGAGATGGAGCTGGTGCTACTTTCGGAAGAGGAGTCTACTCAACACCGGACATTAACATAGCAGAGTAGTTCTCAGAGAGATTCACGTCCAAAATAGATAACAAAGCCTACAAGGTGGTGCTACAGAATAGGATCAACAACCAGAAAAGGAGAGCGAGTTAGTGGCTGGTCTATGGGCCTGAGGAATCATCTCCTGTTAAAGAGAGCGCTATTGTGGAAAACTCCACCCATCCTTATGGTCTGCTGCTTAAGGACATGTTGTAATCCATGCAGACAATGATTGAAAGATAAGTAAAAGCTTGCCGTATGATGGGAAAATTAAGAGATGCATCAGATCAATACAATTCTATATCAACTAAGTAACCAGATGTATTTGTTATAGTCATAGGATTAGCATAAGATTATTTGAGGTTTTTGCCAGTGTAAATATAGAATTGTATTGATCTGATGTTACATCTCTTAATTTTCTGATCATACTGTGTGTGATTACAGCATGCACAGAGTTTGTCTCAGTTATTGAATCTTGTTATGTTCATAAAAATATTTACACTTGTTAAGTTTGCTGAAAATAAACGCAGTTGAGTGAGAGGATGTTTATTTTTTTGTTGAGTTATATACACAGTTGAAGTCGGAAGTTTAAATACACTTAGGTTGGAGTCATTAAAACTCGTTTTTCAACCACTCCACACATTTCTTGTTAACAAACTATAGTTACTTTGTGCATGACAAGTAATTTTTCCAACAACTGTTTATTTCACTTATAATTCACTGTGTCTGTAATCTATCACAATTACATTGGTTCAGAAGTTTACATACACTAAATTGACTGTGCATTTAAACAGCTTAGAAAATTCAAGAAAATGATGTCATGGCTTTAGAAGCTTCTGATTGGCTAATTGACATCATTTGAGTCAATTGGAGGTGTACCTGTGGATGTATTTCAAGAACTACCTTCAAACTCAGTGCCTCTTTGCTTGACATCATGGGAAAATCAAAAGAAATCAGCCAAGACCTCAGAAAAAAAAATCTAGACCTCCACAAGTCTGGTTCATCCTTGGGAGCAATTTCCAAACGCCTGAAGGTACCACGTTCATCTGTACAAACAATAGTATGCAAGTATAAACACCATGGGACCACGCAGCCGTCATACCGCTCAGGAAGGAGATGCGTTCTGTCTCCTAAAGATGAACGTACTTTGGTGCGAAAAGTGCAAATCACTCCCAGAACAACAGCAAAGGACCTTGTGAAGATGCTGGAGGAAACAGGTACAAAAGTATCTATATCCACAGTAAAACAAGTCCTATAATCGACATAACCTGAAAGGCCGCTCAGCAAGGAAGAAGCCACTGCTCCAAAACCACCATAAAAAAGCCAGACTACGGTTTTCAACTGCACATGGGGACAAAGATCGTACTTTTTGGAGAAATGTCCTCTGGTCAGAAATAGAACTGTTCGGCCATAACGTCCATCGTTATGTTTGGAGGAAAAGGGGGGGGCTTACAAGCCGAAGAACACCATCCCAACCGTGAAGCATGGGGGTGGCAGCATCATGCTTTGGGGGTGCTTTGCTGCAGGAGGGACTGGTGCACTTCACAAAATAGATGGCATCATGAGGAAGGAAAATGATGTGGATATATTGAAGCAACATCTCAAGACATCAGTCAGGAAGTTAAAGCTTGGTCGCAAATGGGTCTTCCAAATGGACAATGACCCCAAGCATACTTCCAAAGTTGAGGCAAAATGGCTTAAGGACAACAAAGTCAAGGTATTGGAGTGGCCATCACAAAGCCCTGACCTCAATCCTATAGAAAATGTGTGGGCAGAACTGAAAAAGCGGACGCCTACAAACCTGATTCAGTTACACGAGCTCTGTCAGGAGGAAAGGGTCAAAATTCACCCAACTTATTATAGGAAGCTTGTTGAAGGCTACCCGAAACGTTTGACCCAAGTTAAACAATTTAAAGGCAATGCTACCAAATACTAATTGAGTGTACGGTATGTAAACATCTGACCCACTGGGAATGTGATGAAAGAAATAAAAGCTGAAATAAATCATTCTCTATTATTATTCTGACATTTCACATTCTTAAAATAAAGTGGTGATCCTAACTGACCTAAGACAGGGAATTTTTACTAGGATAAAATGTCAGTTATTGTGAAAAACAGAGTTTAAATGTATTTGGCTAAGGTGTATGTAAACTTCCGACTTCAACTGTATATATATATACACATATATACAGTACGAGTCAAAAGTTTGGACACACCTACTCATTCAAGGGTTTTTCTTTATTTAGACTATTTTCTACATTGTTGTAGAATAGTGAAGACATCAAAACTATGAAATAACACACATGGAATCATGTAGTAACCAAAACAGTGTTAAACAAATCAAAATATATTTCATATTTGAGATTCTTCAAAGTAGCGAACCTTTGCCTTGATAACAGCGTCGCACACGCTTGGCATTCTCTCAACCAGCTTCAAGAGGTAGTCACCTGGAATGCATTTCAATTAACAGGTGTGCCTTGTTAAAGTTAATTTGTGGAATTTCTTTCCTTCTTAATGTATTTGAGCTAATCAGTTGTGTGGTAACAAGGTAGGGGTGGTATACAGAAGATAGCCCTATTTGGTAAAACACCAAGTCCATATTATGAAAAGAACAGCTCAAAAAAGCAAAGAGAAACGACATTCCATCATTACTTTAAGACAGTCAAGTCAATACGGAAAATGTCAAGAACTTTGAACGTTTCTTCAAGTGCAGTCGCAAAAACCATCAAGCACTATGATGAAACTGGCTCACTTGAGGACCGCCACAGGAAAGGAAGACCCAGAGTTACCTCTGCTGAAGATGATAAGTTAATTAGAGTTAATTACACCTCAGATTACAGCCCAAATAAATGCTTCAAGAGTAGAAGTAACAGACACATCTCAACATCAACTGCCTTGATGGTCGAATTGCTGCAAAGATACCACTACTAAAGGAAACCAATAAGAAGAAGGGTCTTGCTTGGGCCAAGAAACATGAACAATGGACATTAGACCGGTGGAAATCTGTCCTTTGGTCTGATGAGTCCAAATTTGAGATTTTTGGTTCCAACCACTGTGTCTTTGTAAGACGCAAAGTAGGCGAACGGATGATCTCCGCATGTGTGGTTCCCACCATGAAGCAAGGAGCAGGAGGTGTGAATGTGTGGGGGTGCTTTGCTGGTGACATCATCTGTGATTTATTTAGAATTCAAGGCACACTTAACCAGCATGGCTACCACAGCATTCTGCAGCAATACGCCATCCCATCTAGTTTGTGCTTAGTGGGACTATCATTTGTTTTTCAACAGGACAATGACCCAACACACCTCCAGGCTGTGTAAGGGCTATTTGACCAAGAAGGAGAGTGATGGAGTGCTGCATCAGATCACCCGACCTCAAACCAATTGAGATGGTTTGGGATGAGTTGGACCGCAGAGTGAAGGAAAAGCAGCCAACAAGTGCTCAGCATATGTGGGAACTTCTTCAAGACTGTTGGAAAAGCATTTCAGGTGAAGCTGGTTGAGAGAATGCCAAGAGTGTGCAAAGCTGTCATCAAGGCAAAGGGTGGCTACTTTGAAGAATCTCAAATATAAAATACATTTAGATTTGTTTAACACTTGTATGGTTACTAAATTATTCCATATGTGTTATTTCATAGTTTTGATGTCTTCACTATTATTCTACAATGTAGAAAATTGTGAAAAATAAAGAAAAACCCTTTAATGAGTAGGTGTGTCCAAACTTTTGGTGCTGTATCTATACAGTGCATTGGGAAAGTATTCAGACCCCTTGACTTTTTCCACATTGTTACGTTACAGCCTTATTCTAAAATGGATTAAATTGGTTTTTTCCCCTCAATCTACACACAATATCCCATAACGACGAAGCAAAAACAGGTTTAGACATTTTTGCAAATTTATAACAAATAAAAAACTGAAATATCACATTTACAGAAGTATTCAGACCCTTTACTCAGTACTTTGTTGAAGCACCTTTGGCAGCGATTACAGCCTCGAGTCTTCTTGGGTATGACGCAACAAGCTTGGCACACTTGTATTTGGGGAGTTTCTCCCATTCTTCTTTGCAGATCCTCTCAAGCTCTGTCAGGTTGGATGGGGATCGTCACTGCACAGCCATTTTCACGTCTCTCCAGAGATGTTAGATCTGGTTCAAGTCCGGGCTCTGGCTGGGCCACTCAAGGACATTCAGAGACTTGTCCCGAAGCCACTCCTGCATTGTCTTGGCTGTGTGCATAGGGTTGTTGTCCTGTTGGAAGATGAACCTTCGCCCCAGTCTGAGGTCCTGAGTGCTCTGGAGCAGGTTTTCATCAAGGATCTCTCTGTACTTTGCTCTGTTCATCTTTCCCTCGATCCTGACTATTCTCCCAGTCCCTGCCGCTGAAAAATATCCCCACAGCATGATGCTGCCACCACCATGCTTCGCTGTAGGGATGGTTCCAGGTTTCCTTCCGCATTCGGGCCAAAGCGTTCAATCTTGGTTTCATCAGACCAGAGAATCTTGTTTCCCATGGTCTGAGAGTTCTTTAGGTGCCTTTTGGCAAACTCCAAGCGGGCTGTCATGTGCCTTTTACTGAGAAGTGGCTTCCGTCTGGCCACTCTACCGCAAAGGCCTGATTGGTGGAGTGCTGCAGAGATGGTTGTCCTTCTGGAAGGTTCTCCCATCTCCACAGAGGAACTCTGGAGCTCTGTCAGAGTGACCAACGGGTTCTTATTCACCTCTCTGACCAACGGACAATTCCTTCGACCTCATGGCTTGGTTTTTGCTCTGACATGCACTGTCAACTGTGGGACCTTATATAGACAGGGGTGTGCCTTTCCAAATCATGTCCAATCAATTGAATTTACCACAGGTGGACTCCAATCAAGTTGTAGAAACATCTCAAGGATGAACAATGGAAACAGGATGCCCCTGAGCTCAATTTCGAGTCTCATAGCAAAAGGTCTGAATACTTATGTAAATAAGGTATTTCTGTTTTAAATTGTTTAGAAAATATGCAACATTTTCTACAAACCTGTTTTCGCTTTGTCATTATGGGGTATTGTGTGTAGATTGATGAGGATTTGTTATTTATTTAATCCATTTTAGAATAAGGCTGTAACGTAACAAAATGTGGAGAAAGTCAAGGGGTCTGAATACTTTCCGAATGCGCTGCACGTGTGTATATATACACACATACATACACACACACACACACACACACACTCCCGTTCAAAAGTTTGGTGTCACTTAGATATTTCCTTGTTTTCGAAAGAAAAGCATTTTTTTTGTCCATTAAAATAACATAACATTGATCACAAATACAGTGTAGACATTGCTAATGTTATAAATGGCTATTGTAGCTGGAAACGGCTGATTTCTAATGGAATGTCTACATAGGCATACAGAGGCCCATTATCAGCAACCATCAATCCTGTGTTCCAATGGCATGTTGTGTTTGCTAATCCAAGTTTATCATTTTAAAAGGCTAATTGACCATTAGAAAACCCTTTTGCAATTATGTTAGCACAGCTGAAAACTGTTGTGCTGATTAAAGAAGCAATACAACTGGCCTTCTGAGACTAGTTGAGTATCTGGAGCATCAGCAATTGTGGGTTCGATTACAGGCTCAAAATGGCCAGAAACAAATAACTTTCTTCTGAAACTCGTCAGTCTATTCTTGTTCTGAGAAATTAAGGCTATTCCATGCGAGAAATTGCCAAGAAACTGAAAATCTCGTATAACGCTGTGTACTACTCCCTTCACAGAACAGCGCAAACTGGCTCTAACCAGAATAGAAAGAGGAGTGGGAGGCTGAGGACAAATACATTAGAGTGTCTAGTTTGAGAAACAGACGCCTCACAGGTCCTCAACTGGCAGCTTCATTAAATAGTACCCGCAAAACACCAGTCTCAACGTCAACAGTGAAGAGGCGACTCCGGGATGCTGACATTCTAGGCAGAGTTGCAAAGAAAAATACATATCTCAGACTGGCCAATAAAAAGAAAATATTAAGATGGGCAAAAGAACACAGACACTGCATTTACATTTACATTTTAGTCATTTAGCAGACGCTCTTATCCAGAGCGACTTACATGAGCAATTAGGGTTAAGTGCCTTGCTTAAGGGCACATCGACAGATTTTTCACCTAGTCAGCTCGGGGATTAGAACCAGCGACCTTTCGGTTACTGGCACAACGCTCTTACCCACTAAGCTACCTGCCGCCCCAGAGGAAGATTGGAAAAAAGTGTTATGGACAGACGAATCGAAGTTTGAGGTGTTCGGATCACAAAGAAGAACATTTGTAAGACGCAGACCAAATGAAAAGATGCTGGAGGAGTGCTTGATGCCATCTGTCAAGCATGGTGGAGGCAATGTGATGGTCTGGGGGTGCTTTGGTGGTGGTAAAGTGGGAGATTTGTACAGGGTAAAAGGGATCTTGAAGAAGGAAGGCTATCACTCCATTTTGCAACGCCATGTGGACGACGCTTGATTGGAGACAATTTCCTCCTACAACAGGACAATGACCCAAAGCACAGCTCCAAACTATGCAATAACTATTTAGGGAAGAAGCAGTCAACTGGTATTCTGTCTATAATGGAGTGGCCAGCACAGTCACCGGATCTCAACCCTATTGAGCTGTTGTGGGAGCAGCTTGACCGTATGGTACGTAAGAAGTGCCCATCAAGCCGATCCAACTTGTGGGAGGTGCTTCAGGAAGCATGGGGTGAAATCTCTTCAGATTACCTCAACAAATTGACAGCTAGAATGCCAAAGGTCTGAAAGGCTGTAATTGCTGAAAGTGGAGGATTATTTGACGAAAGCAACGTTTGAAGGACACAATTATTATTTATATTTTTAAAAAAACATTATTTCGAACCTTGTCAATGACTACATTTCCTATGCATTTTGCTATATTTTCTATTCAAACTCATTTCATGTATGTTTTCATGGAAAACAAGGAAATTTCTAAGTGACCCCAAACTTTTGAAAGGTAGTATATATATATATATATATATACACACACACACACACACACACTCGCCAGTTTATTAGGTACACCACCCCGTTCACGAAACTGGATCATGAGTCACATTGCCGTGGCTTGCTAAATAAAGCAGGCATACAAGCATCAAGGCATTAAATTACTGTTCAAATGAACGTTAGAATGGGCAAAACGAGTGACCTAAGCAACTTTGAGCGTGGTTCTGGAGGCAAAGGGGTGTCCGACTCAGTACCTAATAAAGAAATAAAAATCGGCTTTTCATTTATCTGACTTTCATCTATCTGCATGTCCAGCCCTTATATTTAGCCTCACAATTAAGTGTTTTACCATTTTATTTTCAGGATAACCAGGGCTACAAGTAGAACAAAACAATTTGACATAAACAGTTACTACATTCATGAGTTTTATTGAGAAATGTAAATAAAATAATTGGTCAGCCAAAGCAAAAACCTGATAAAAATGAATTTATATAAATGCTGTAAGTAGAGAAATGGTTTGCTCAGTGGGAAATAAATATCCAACTAGTCAGTGACACCTGTGTGAAGTTTGGAGTTTGTGACAGCAACTATGTGAGCTTATTACAGTATTATAGACACTATGGCCTTGGATTTCCTATGATCTTCTATGTAGAAGAACCCCTTATATTCTAACGACTCTTGTGAAGCTTGTGAGCGTCATAGAGCAAAACATAACAGATAGCTTTTAATAGTTTCTAGCTCAAACCATTTGGACTATACAGCCGTTTTTGTAAAAGGACCCAGCCCCGGACCCCTTCGGGATCAGCCATTGTCTCACAAACACTGATCTAGCTCAGCCCCCGTAAGTCACACAGACTAATGGTTGGTACCAACGGATGCATAAGAAATAGACATATCCAATGGTACCCAGACATCTGCAGCTCAGACGATGTTTAAAAGGTGTTAGAAGTCCAAATGGCGCCGGCTTCACGTTGGGTTAAGGTCAACGGCATCATGAACTTTACCAAGTACCAGGACATTTTAGCCAAAAACTTGGTTGCCTCTGACAGGAGGCTGACACTTGGCTGCAAGTGGATCTTCCAGCAAGACAATAACCCCAAGCACACATCAAAATCCTCAAAGAAATGGTTAATTGACCACAAAATCAAAAAATGTCCATGGCCATCTCAGTCTCTGGACTTGAACCCCATTGAAAACCTGTGGTTTTAATTTAAGAGGGCAGTCCATAAGCTCAGACGAAGGATATCAAGGAACTGGACAAATTCTGTATGGAGGAATGGTCTAAGATCCCTACCAATGTGTTTTCCAATCTGATAAATATTTGAGAAAAAGGCTCAGTGTTGTTATCCTCGCATGGGTAGGGTGATGGAGTACTGAAAACAGATGTGCCTATCTTTAAGAATTTTGGTATTACTTGCTAGACAAAGTCTCTTTCTCTGGGCAATTGTATTAGTATAAAATAATATCAATTCCCAAAAAAATGTCATGCAATATAGCTCAGTATTTGTATTATTTATTTTGTGTTTTTTGCTCATCTTTATCAAGGGTGCCAATAATTATGGACGTGACTGTATATACTGCATATGCTTCGGTTTGATGCACTGATGAGAAATAAGTGCAAACTTTCCTCTATAAATATAGGGCGGCAAGCCAAGGAATTGCGGCAAGCTCACCTGACCAGAAACAGAGTCCAAAGACACAGAGGGTGCCAAATAAGGCTGAGACTGGGGCAACACAGGCCAGGAGAGTCCAACACGACACCAATTCCCTCTCTGCCACCTCTGCGTCTGGAACACAAACCACACAGCGGTTACCACACACCATCCCAGGATCAGGGTTGCTGTGGGAGGAGAGCTGAGCAGAAACCTTAAATAGAAATGATACCTCTGTATGTACACTGATAGTAAACCACTGTACTCTTTACCTGCCGCCTAATGATAAACAGGAAACCAAACAAACCAACTAATCTGGTGAATAGAGAAAGCAGACTAAGCTTTGTCTGATACAGTGCATTGGGAAAGTATTCAGACCCCTTGACGTTTTCCACATTGTTATGTTACAGCCTTATTCTAAAATGGATTAAATAGTTTTTTCCCCCTCAATCTACACACAATACCCCATAATGACAAAGCAAAAGCAGGTTTCTATAATTTTTTACAATTGTATAAAGAATAAAAAACTGAAATAGCACATTTACAGAAGTATTCAGACCCTTTACTCAGTACTTTGTTGAAGCACCTTTGGCAGCAATTACAGCCTCAAGTCTTCTTGGGTATGATGCTTCAAGCTTGGCACACCTGTATTTGGGGAGTTTCTCCAGTTTTTCTCTGCAGATCCTCTCAAGCTCTGTCAGGTTGGATGGGGAGCGTCGCTGCACAGCTATTTTCACGTCTCTCCAGAGATGTTAGATCGGGTTCAAGTCCGGGCTCTGGCTGGGCCACTCAAGAACATTCAGAGACTTGTCCCGAAGCCACTCCTACATTGTCTTGGCTGTGTGCTTAGGGTTGTTGTCCTGTTGGAAGGTGAACTTTCGCCCCATTCTGAGGTCCTGAGCACTCTGGAGCAGGTTTTCATCAAGGATCTCACTGTACTTTGCTCCGTTCATCTTTCCCTCGATCCTGACTAGTCTACCAGTCCCTGCTGCTGAAATACATCCCCACAGCATAATGCTGCCACAACCATGCTTCACCGTAGGGATGGTGCCAGGTTTCCTCCAGACGTGACGCTTGGCATGCAGGTCAAAGAGTACAATCTTGGTTTCATCAGACCAGAGAATCTTGTTTCTCATGGTCTGAGAGTATTTAGGTGCCTCTTGGCAAAATCCAAGCGGGCTGTCATGTGCCTTTTACTGAGGAGTGGCTTCCGTCTGGCCACTCTACCATAAAGGCCTGATTGGTGGAGTGCTGCAGAGATGGTTGTCCTTCTGGAAGGTTCTCCCATCTCCACAGAGGAACTCTGGAGCTCTGTCAGAGGGACCATCGGGTTCTTGTTCACCTCCCTGACCAAGGCCCTTCTCCCCCGATTGCTCAGTTTGGCCGGGCGGCCAGCTCTAGTAAGAGTCTTCGTGGTTCCAAACTTCTTCCATTTAAGAATGATGTGTTCTGTGTTCTTGGGAACCTTCAATGCTGCAGTTTTTTTTTTTATCCTTCCCCAGATCTGTGCCTCGACACAATCCTGTCTCGGAGCTCTACGGACAATTCCTTCGACCTCATGGCTTGGTTTTTGTCAGGGTTGAGTGTAGAGGGAACGTGGAATCACACGCAGGACACAGAGATTCAAAAAACAGATGTCTTTAGTGAAGTCCGACAGTACAAGCCAACACGGCAACAGGCCACAGGCGAAACATACGCACACTGGAATGTCCAAAGTAAATGCGCACAACGTGCAGGACTCTCTTAAACAAAACGAAATACAGAGAGCACAGAACAGCGGACCAACAACAACACGTGACATCGAACAATTACACACAACACCTGACCAAACACAAGAGAACTAAATAGGGTGCCTAATGAACACTTAACAATGAACAGGTGTAACAAACAGACAAAACCAATCTAACATGAAACATCGAACGGTGGCAGCTAGTACTCCGGAGACGACGACCGCCGAAGCCTGCCCGAACAAGGAGAAGGAGCCGCCTCGGCCGAAACCGTGACAGTTTTGCTCTGACATGCACTGTCAACTGTGGGACCTTATATGGACTTTCCAAATAATTTCCAATCAATTGAATTTACCATAGGTGGACTCCAATCAGATTGTAGAAACATCTCAAGGATGATCAATGGACACAGGATGCACCTGAGATCATAGCAAAGGGTCTGAATACTTATGTTAATAAGGTATTTATGGGGGGTTTTTATTTATAAAAACCTGTTTTTTCACCTTGTCATTATGGGGTATTGTATGTAGATTGATAAGGGAAAATGTATTTTTTCAATTTTAGCATAAAGCTGTAACGTAACAAAATGTGGAAAAAGTTCAGGGGTCTGAATACTTTACGAATGCACTGTATGTAACCCACAAGGTCAACTGTTTTTTTGAGGCCCTCTGTGTGGTCTCATGTGGCCTTTGTTTAACCTCAAAGTATTTTTCTCTTGAAAAGCTTACATGGAACACTTGACAGCATCAACTTTTTCAAATTCTATAATGGTCACCGTCACAGGGCCCTTTCAGTATGACGAATAACATCCCAAAAATGGCAAACATTTTCCTGAAAAGTTATTGAAATATGGAATCACAGTTTCATGTATCTGAATATATACTGAACACAAATATAAAAACGCAACATTCAACAATTTCAAAGATTTTACTGAGTTACAGTTCATATAAGGAAATCAGTCAATTGAAATAAATGTATTAGGCCCTAATCTATGGATTTCACATGACTGGGTAGGGGCGCAGCCATGGGTGGGCCTGGGAGGGCATATGCCCAACCACTTGGGAGCCAGGTCCACCCACTTGGGAGCCAGGCCCACCCACTTGGGAGCCAGGCCCAGCCAATTTCCCCACAAAAGGGCTTTATTACAGACAGAAATACTCCTCAGTTTCATCAGCTGTCCGGGTGGCTGGTCTCAGACGATCCCGCAGGTGAAGAAGCCGGATGTGAAGGTCCTGGGCTGGCATGGGTTGTGTTTGTGAGGCAACGTTGGAGGCAGCTTATGGTAGAGGAATGAACATGAAATTCTCTTGCAACAGCTCTGGTGGACATTCCTGCAGTACGCATGCCAATTGCACGCTCCCTCAAAACTTGAGACATCTGTGGCATTGTGTTGTGTGACAAAACTGCACATTTTAGAGTGGCCTTTTATTGTCCCCAGCACAAGGTGCACCTGTGTAATGATCATGCTGTTTAATCAGCTTCTTGAGATGCCAAACCTGTCAGGTGGATGGATTATCTTGGCAAAGGAGAAATGCTCACTAACAGGGATGTAAACACATTTCTGCACAAAACTGAGAGAAATAAGCTTTTTGTGCGTATGGAACATTTCTGGGATATTTTATTTCAGCTCATGAAACATGGGACCAACACTTTACATGTTGCGTTTATATTTTTGTTCAGTATACAGTACATACATACAATTTTTATATATCTGAATACCCTGTGTACTCGGTGACCTGACCTCTGTCTGAATTTGTCTAAGTAACTCAAGGTTCTGAGGCCCCATTATAAATGTGTATATTGAGTACACTAAAGACAAGCTAATGCATTTCTTAGACTTGGCCAAATACATAATTGACTAATATAATGATGACCAATAACATACCCGCAAAAGTCAGACGGATGCCTTTTCCAGAGCGGATTGTCCCATCGTAGCGGCCAGCACAGTAGTAGAGTCCCAAATCTGCTTCTGTCACCACAATGATCTCCAAACTGTTGTTTTCCTTTGTGTAAAGGTGACCTGTGTCTTCTTCATTAACTGCTGGCGTATTTAGAAAATTTGATAACTTTGTAACAGTAAGAAGGGTAACAAGTTCCTCTGAGCGGATTTGGAACCAGATTATTTCTTTGCTGTTTGTGAGGTTGCATGGCAGGGAAGCATTTTGTCCAGCCTGAACAACATGGACCACAGGTGATGCGGACAAAAAGTGTAGTCCAGAAACATCTAGAAAAGAATGTTAAATAGTTGATTAAACCCATTTGCAAACTATTTATCAGTGGCGGCTGGTGGGAGGAGGTATAGCAGGACGGGCTCATTGTAATGGCTGGAAAATAGTAAATGGAATGGTATCAAACACAGCAAACATATGGAAACCACATTGACGCCGTTCCATTAATTACATTCCAGCCATTACAATGAGCCCGTCCTCATATAGCCCCATCCACCAGCATCCTCTGCTATCTATCTACAGTCGTATGAAAAAGTTTGGGCACCCCTCTGAGGCTGCATAATAATTTACTCTGTCGTCACAGAAAATGATCACAGTGGCATGCCATTCATTTTCTAATAAATGCTGAGTACTGGGGTATTGTCCAGACAAAGATTTTTAGTGTAGCAATATTAAGTTGTATGAAATTAAATCAGATGTGAAAAATAGGCTATGCAAACATTTAGCCACCCTTGTCATTCTGTTGATTTGAATACCTGTAACTACTTAGCACTGATTAATTGGAACACACAATTGGTTTGGTGAGCTCATTAAGCCTTGAACTTCATAGACAAGTGCATCCAATCATGAGAAAGGGTATTTAAGGTGGCCAATTGCAAGTTGTTGTTCTCTTTGACTCTCCTCTGAAGAGTGGCAACATGGGGGCCTCAAAACAACTCTCAAATGACATGAAAACAAAGATTGTTCAACATTTTGGTTTAGGGGAAGGCTACAAAAAGCTATCGCAGAGATGTAAGCTGTCAGTGTCCACTTTGAGGAACATAGTGAGGAAATGGAAGACCACAGGCACAGTTCTTGTTAAGGCCAGAAGTGGCAGGCCAAGTAAAATATCGGAGGCAAAGGCGAAGGATGGTGAGAATGGTCAAAAACAGCCCACAGACCACCTCCAAAGACCTACAACGTCTTGCTGCAGATGGTGTCACTGTGCATCGTTCAACAATTCAGCGCACTTTGCACAAGGAGAAGCTGTACGGGAGAGTGATGCGGAAGAAGCCTTTTCTGCACACGCCACAAACAGAGTCGCTTGAGTTATGCAAACGCACATTTGGACAAGCCAGCTTCATTTTGGAATAAGGTGCTGTGAACTGATGAAACAAATATTGAGTTATTTGGTCATAACAAGAGGCGATATGCATGGCGGCAAAATAACAGCGTTCCAAGAAAAACACTTGCTACCCACAGTAAAATTTGGTGGGGGTTCTATCATGCTGTGTGGCCAGTGCCGGTACTGGGAATCTTGTTAAAGTTGAGGGTCGCGTGGATTCCACTCAATATCAGCAGATTCTTGGGAATAATGTTGAAGAATCAGTCACAAAGTTAAAGTTACGCCGGGGCTGGATATTTCAACAAGACACCGACCCAAAACACTGCTCAAAATCTACCCGGGCATTTATGCAGAGGAACAAGTACAATGTTCTGGAATGGCCATCCCAGTCCCCAGACCTGAATATCATTGAGAATCTGTGGGATGATTTGAGGCTGTCCATGCTCGGCAACCATCAAACCTAACTGAACTGGAGATGTTTTGTAAGGAGGAATGGTCCAAAATACCTTCATCCAGACACTCATTAGAGGCTATATGAAGCGTCTATAGGCTGTTATTTTAGCAAAAGGAGGCTCTACTAAATATTGATGTGATTTTTCTGTTGGGGTGCCCAAATTTATGCACCTGTCTAATTTCGTTTTGATGCATATTGCACATTTTCTGTGAATTCAATAAACCTAATTTCACTACTGAAATATTACTGTGTCCATCAGTTATTTGATATTTCAAAATGAAATTGCTGATCCAAACACCCACTTATTTATAAATGGAAAATGTCAGGGGTGCCCAAACTTTCATACGACTGTATCTATCTAGTCTCAGTACCTACATGTCTGTCTTTCTATCAGTCAGTATAACCATTCATCCATCAATATACTTACAAAAGAAAATGAGCAGGTAGACTAATTTCCCCATAATATCCGGATATTTCACCTGTGAAGATGACAGTCTATTCCCTACTAGACAACCCTAATGAACGTACTAAAGAGAGCCTATGGTACAGGTAATTGATTGAATGGGGAAATGCTTATGTACAGGAAAGAGACCACCACATTTGACATTTGTTGCGGTTTCAGACAATGTAGCTTAGGTTATGTTTCCTGCGAAGTTCCCCATACTTCAAAATAAATGACAATGTAATTAGTATGACTATTTTCCTTAGGTTTCGTTTCTGGTAGCTCAGTTGACGCGGCTTACACTGGCTTGCTTGCTGCGGCTGCTCAGGCTCACAACTTAGAAGTTCGAGGTGGAGTCAACCAACTCGCTGTCTGTTACAATGAAAATGCATGGCATAGACCGAGACCGGTAAGAGACAACTATGTATTTAATTTAACTGTGCATGTTATTTAGCAAATAATCTAAAGAATTCTTAGAGTAAAAAAAAAAAAAGCATTTGTATCTGCAGTCTGACACTGCCTAACTGCTATTCTTATTCACTGTGCTGCACTAGGCTATGTGCTCACGTCGGGTAACTAATTTAAACGAGATGTATGAATTTCTTGGTGGATGTCATGTGTGGACTAGTTGGTTTACTACAGGAGATGCATGTGTGCATTCCCTAGCACCGCAATATTCCTTAGTTTCGTTTTCAGAGCAGGGCTCACAGCCTGTCGCTTCAAAGAGACTCAATAGAAACTATATCGTTCTATTTTTGAAACGCCTACAGGAGGAGAAACGAAACTGATTTCACATCAAGAAGTGCCAAATATGCTAGTGAGGTTTAAATATATATATTTTTTTACATTTTTCGGTAGATGAAAGTAAAACATGTTATTGTTTTTTTTCTAATTGTGACTTGTTTGACAACAGTTTTACATAATAGGCCAAATGGCTGGCTGTGCGTCAAGGGGTGAATTTCGACCCGAGTTACACACGCATAAATGGAACATAATTCCCTTTTTATGCACTTTTCTCTCTATGCTATTCTGACCTTGAATTTAAGCATGAGAATAGCATGCTATTAACCCCTATAAATGAAGGTGTGGCGGAGGTGTGTCTACAGATACACTGCTGACAGTGTTGGTTTCATGAGCTGAAATAAAAGACCCCAGAAATGTTTCATACACACAAAAAGCTTATTTCTATCAAATGTTGTGCACAAATATGTTTACATCCCTTTTAGTGAGCGTTTCAACTTTGCCAAGATAATCCATCCACCTGACAGGTGTGGCATATTAAGAAGCCGATTAAACAGCATGATGATAATAATAATAATATGCCATTTAGCAGATGCTTTTATCCAAAGCGACTTACAGTCATGTGCGCATACATTTTTACGTATGGGTGGTCCCGGGGATCGAACCCACTACCCTGGCATTACAAGCGCCATGCTCTACCAATTGAGCTACAGAGGATCATTACACAGGTGCACCTTGTGCAGGGGACAATAAAATACCACTCTAAAATGTGCAGTTTTGTAACACAACACAATGCCACAGATGTCTCAAGTTTTTATGGAGCATGCAATTGGCATGCCGACTGCAGCAATGTCCACCAGAGCTGTTGCCAGAGAATTGAATGTTCATTCCTGTACCATAAGCCGCCTCCAATGTCGTTTTAGAGAATTTGGCAGTACGTCCAACCGGTCTCACAACCGCAGACCACATGTATGGTGTGGGCGAGCGGTTAGTTGATGTCAACGTTGTGAACAGAGTGCCCCATGGTGGCAGTTGGGTTATGGTATGGGCAGGCATAAGCTACGGACAATGAACACAATAGCATTTTATCGATGGCAATTTGAGTGCACAGAGATACCGTGACGAGATCTTGAAGCCCATTGTCAAATAAAACATTTTTGGTCACATACACGTGTTTAGCAGATATTATTGCGGGTGTAGGGAAATGCTTGTTGTGCCATACATCCGCCGCTATCACCTCATGTTTCAGCATGATAATGCACGGCCCCGTGTCACAAGGATCTGTACACAATTCCTGGAAGCTGAAATATCCCAGTTCTTCTATGGCCTGCATTCTCACCTGACATGTCACCCATTGAGCATGTTTGGGATGCTCTGGATCGACGTGTACAGCAGCGTGTTCCAGTTCCCGCCAATATCCAGCAACTTCGCTCAGCCATTGAAGAGGAGTGGGACAACATTCCACAGGCCACAATCAACAGCCTGATCAACTCTATGAAAAGGAGATGTCGCGCTGCATGAGGCAAATGGTGGTCACACCAGATACTGACTGGTTTTCTGATCCACGTCTCTACCTTTATTTAAAGGTATCTGTGACCAACAGATGCATATCTGTATTCCCAGTCATGTGAAATCCATAGATTAGGGCCTAATGAATTTATTTCAATTGACTGATTTCCTTAAATGAACTGTAACTCAATAAAATCTTTGAAATTGTTCCACGTTGCGTTTATAATTTTGTTCAGTATATTTAGATGGCTTTCTTTCATTGATCCCTAATATACTGAACTCGTTCTCTTGATATATTCTAGTGTGTCGACAAAATTCAAAGTAAAAGGTACACCTTATTTAAAGGGATGGCTTAAGATAAATGTACTGAAAACCCTATTGAATGAAAACTCAATGAGAAAATCTGTTGGCCAGCAAGTTTCAACAGTTGAATTACATTTATTTAGAGCATGCAAGGTAGCCACACCAGCAGAGCACGTTACAAGACTGAATAAGGTAAGTCTCTGAAAACCAAAAACTGAAAAGTGCGTAGGAAAGGCGAACATTTCTAAGTCTGAATCGGCCCCCAATAGCCTATATATATTTTGTATTTATTTCATGAAATCCTCTTATCCTGCTTTTTCTTCCTTTTTTTTCAGACATTTTATGCATCTTCATTGTCTGTGGATTGTCGGCTGTGTTGGTGAGTATAAATAAACTATCCACAATTAGAACTTGAACAATGGCAAACAATCTATGATTTTCTAAACATTTGTTCCAACTCTCTCCTCCAGCCTCCTCCTCCCTGCCCTCCGTCCCTGTCTCCATCTCTTCCCCTGTTGGAAGCCAAGCCATCCTTCCCTGCAAATGGAGGTCCCAGCTAGACGACGTCCCAGTTTGCCACATCCAATGGCAGACACCCGATGAGCCCGTGTTTGAGCAGAAGGGAGAGCAACAGTGGCAGGCCAGCGAGTTTGAGGGGCGGGTGGAGGTACCTAAGGAAAAGCTTTGGGAGGGCGACTGCTCTCTAATCTTGCGCGACGTGCAGTTTGGGGACGTGGGGCTTTACGAGAGCTTCATGGTGGTTGACGGGGAAAGGATGAAAAGGCGGGTGTTCATCCAGAGTGTCCAGCTCTCAGTCTATGGTAAGGGTAGATCTACAGGTCAGACCTGGGCTGAAATGGTTGTGTTTTATTTAGCTAACCTCATCTCTCCTTGTTCTCTCCAGACCATAAGTCCAAGCTGTCCTTGGGCATTGGTGAAGACCTGGTCCTGAAGCTCCACACTCCCCAGGCCATGAGAGTGGTCTTCCAAGGGAGGAACAGCACAGAGTGGAAGGTCCTGTGGATTAGGGGTGACAAGAAGCTCAACAGAGGTCATCTTGAGGAGGCTGAAGGGGTGGTGGTCCTCAGAGGGTTAAGGATGGACAACTCTGGGACATTTAAGGTGCTGGATTCCCATGGGCTGTCGGTGAGCACTGTGAAACTCACAGTGGAAGGTAATAAAATGTCCTAAATGCTAATGCATAACCTTTTGTTTCTTGTTTGTGATGTATCTGTAAACACGTGCAACTGCTGCTAACATTTTAAATGGTGTATCCCACAGAAGTTGCTAAAACTCTAAAGCTTCCCCAGATCCAGGACAAACCTGTAGGTAAGAGACTGAAATAAATAATTGACATTACTTATGCAAGGCAAGTATACCAAGTTCATGACACTGTCGAAGACTGATGGACAATAATAGTACATTTTGAACAAGTTATCTTCTCTGTCTCTCTAGGTAAATCGACTGTTTACAGGTCCTCCTCTCTGCTTCTTGTATTTGTCCTGCTGATCAGTCCCCTGATTCAACATCTCCTCTAACAAGGTTTAAACCTTTTGGGCTGGTTTCCCAGAACCAAATAAACATACCCCTGTACTAAAAAGCACTTTCAATTACTAAAAAGCACTTTCATCCATTGAAAGTGCTTTTTGGTCTACAGGCATATCAGAACCTCAAATACATGCTTGTTTTACTCCAATGTTAGTAAAGAATGTAAATGTAAATACACTTTATAGCCTCAAAACATGGTTAAAACTGTTATCATGGATGGTCAGTCCTTGGCTCCATACCTCTGTCTATGAATTTGAGTCGGTACATTTCTCCAGGTTCATCTCTCAGCTTTTTACCGAAACACAGGCTGTTATTGTTTCATTTAAGGATTCTAGCTTTAATGGGTTTGATTGTACAAATAAAAATCTGAGAGCACCATGTTTAATTTGGAAGTTCAGTGTTTGTAAATATTATATTACTCCTATGATAGATATATATATACACACACTGAACAAAAATATAAATGCAACATGCAACAATTTTACTGAGTTACAGATCATATAAGGAAATCAATCAATTTACATAAAATCATTAGGCCCTAACCTATGGATTTCCCATGACTGGGAATATAGATATGCATGAAACCAACATTTTATTAGCATTATATACAAAAAAGTATATAATACAATCAAATGAAAGGGTGAGTTGTTTTGGTGTTCCATTTTATTACAGCAATGTAATCTTAATTTATGTTAAATAAAGCATTAAATGACAGCCATGTGATGGTCCTTTACAGCCTTGTGAGTATATTCAACTTAGATGATAACATATTGGAATGTATTAATTTACAGTATACACAGAACACAACAGCGACCCAGGAAATACCAATTCCTTTCCTCCTCCCTCTCAAACTCATAATAGACTGGGGGTGCACAGATCTGAGGGCCGCAGTGTATGGTGGTTTTTTCCTTTGCCTTTTACCCACAGACTGGATTATACCTGGGAAATCAGGTGAGTTCACGCTTAAGCTAGTAATTGTTCAATTATGTGCCAAGGCGAAACGAAAACAAGCACAAGTTGTGCACCCCTGTCTGGAATAGATCATCTACTCCGTTTCTTTTGACAGCCTTGTGATCTCTCCTGTCAATCCCCATAACCACTGAACCTTCCCCCCTCCCATTTCTGGCTCTTCATCCCCCTATACCCTCCCCGAAAACAAAGAACCCACCATCCATGAAAGAAAAGGTAGCACTTTTAAACACCACCTTACCCATCGACATTGGTACAATGTCAAATCACAAACGACAGGTTCCCACGTGCAATACATAGTCTTTAGTCAGTGGAGTGCTGTCACAAGCAAAGGGATATACTCTTTCACTTGTTTCCAAATCAGGCCGCGTCGGATTTTGAGCTCCTTCATTTAATCCATGACATCCCCATCATTCCTAAATCTCTACTCTTTGAGTGTCCAGTTAGAAGTTGGGCTTGTGTTTCTTGACTTCGACCATGAGGTGGTGTAGGTTGATGAGCTCCGAGCGCACGGCCAGGCTGCGAAAGGTGGGCTGGGACAGCACCTTGTGGAAGCCATGGTAGTACTGGATCAGCTGAGTGAGCGCCCCCTGGAGGATAGGAGTCAAATTGAATGATACGTTTTAGAGAAGAAAAAAAACTTGTAACAGCCCGTGGCTCATGGTTGCCAAAATGTTAAATATTTCTGTCGATTTAAGGGACCCCTTTTGGCTCAAGAGCACCCCTAGGGGCAAATATTCTGTATAGCCTTTAATTACATACAATTATATTACTGGTTTAGAACGTGTATGTTTTCGGTCAGTGCACCCGTTAGAGAAAGCACAGAGGGCAGTACCTGAATGATACCAGTGCCATTCTTGAAGTTGGTGAAGGACCTCATGACGTCCTGACTCAGAGCCTCCACAGACTGTTTCCATGTACTGGAGAAACCCCTGACCAGCTGGGTGATCCGGGCTAAGAAAGAAAGAAAGGGGGTAGAAGAAAACAACATGAGTTTTGAGATGGGAGGTATGGGTGTGAAAAGGTGTGGGAGAAATGTAAGACAATTGTTATGGTGGAAAGTCAAAGCAGAGTAGAAACAAACGGTCCAAACAGTAGAGGTAAATAAAATGAGACAGGACAGGAGGAAAGTAGAAGAAAGAGAAGAAGGTTACCGTGTAAACGGAAACATTCATAGGTTTTATTTATTCGCACGAAAGACAAAACAGTACAGATAAAAAAACGTGGGTAGTTTGGTTCATCAGGTGGACCCCCAGTCCACACTTTAAGTTATTGAGGGACGATGATGTTTTGGCAATGTGAAGATAAGAATTCCAGAGTATGGTACCTCTGTATCTGATAGAGAATTGACTATGTGAGGTGCAGCAGTGGGGAGGGTGAAGGTTATCGCAGTGTAGTGTTATATAGATGGATTTCAGAATTAACCTGGAAGAATCCATTGAAGGGTTTTGGTAAACTGTCTGAGAGGTATGAGTATTTGTAGACGAAAGTGCATAATTGTCGTAAATAGACAAGATATTATGTTTCTTAAAACAAAGGTGCAGATGGAGCCAGGTATTTAGAGGAGTTGGCTAGTCTTAAATTGTATGATGAGTAATTTGTGTAGATAGGAGGCATATGTACTGGCCCAGACAATATTACAGTAAATGAGATATTGGTAGTTTAAGCTATAGTATAGAGTTAGGAAGCAAACCTGATGAACCAAACCACTAATCTTTCTGATGATACCAACAGATTTCATCACTTTGCTACAGACAAACTGAATATGATCTTTCCAGGATAACCTTTCATCAATTATAAATCAGAGGAATCTAGTGGATGTGACTTGTTCCATTTCATTCCCACCAATTGAGATTCTGGCTCTTATTTTACAATATTTCTTATTCTTACTAGTGAATACAAAGTTGGATTTTTTTAACATTTAAAAGACAATTTGTTTATCTGGAACCATTCAAAAAATGTGACCATACCCGTGTTGGCTTAATTAATTAGTTAATCAAAATGATTGTGTGATAAAATGAAATTGGTATCATCAGCAAAGACAATGGGAAGTACGTTGAAGACACAGCAGCAAGGTCATTGATATAGATTACGAATAACAAAGGTCAAATTATCGAACCCTGTGGCACACCACAGGATATCTTGGCCCTGGTAGATACACAGCCGTTTGCATAAACAAATTGTTCTCTATCATAAACATAACTATTTAACCAATTATATGTATAATCATGAAAACATTCTGCAAACAATTACATTATAAAAAGGTCTGCATCTTTTCCCTCTACTCACCTTCATCATTCTTTAGTCTATCCAGCTGCCCTTTCTCCGTCAGCGCCTCGCTCTCCTTCACAAATGCTATCATGCCACCAAAGGGAGAGGACAGAATCTCCTCAATAAACTCCTGATGAAAGGAGAAAGAAAGAGGGGAATGTTTCATTGGAGTAAATACTTTTGAGTAAACTGATTATCCGTAAATCTGGCACACATGACAAAACTCAATTTCCCAGAATCCCTGTGCAGGTTTACCTGGCTCCTGGCCTGGAGGAGCTGTTGGAAGCCCTCAACCTCTTTACTGTCATCGGCTGCCCTCTCCTATGACATGGAGAGAAAGAGAGGAAAACAGCATGACATCTTTCGATTCTGTATATTCACAAGATATAGCCTAGCGGTTAAGAGCATTGGGCCAGTAACCGAAAGGTCACTGGTTTGAATCCCAGAGCCGACTAGGTCAAACATCTACTGATGTGCCCTTGAGCAAGGCACCTTATTGCTCCTGTAAGTAGCTCTGGATAAGAGAGTCTGCTAAATGACTAACATTTTTATGTAAATGACTGAATGAAGGAGTCATTTCAGGTGGGTAAATAAGTTAATCGTTCATGTTTATGGTTTTAAACTTTTGTTATTCTCACCATGAGTACATTGAGCATCATGTCATAGTTGTTGATGAGGAAAATGAGCTGGTCCCTGCGTGAAGGGAACTCTGCAGCCATCTTCAGGACAAAGTTCTCCACTTCAACCTGAAAATACCAGTGTTAGCTATATCAAATCACACAAAGCACTACTTCAAATGTTCACGCTAACTGTAGGATCCCCACTATTTATACTATTGTACTGTTTTTATTATTATTTAGTTGTGTACCTGCAGTTGGCCAAGGAGGGTGTGTGTTCGCTCGCTGGTGAATGTCTGGTTAATGCTAACTATGGCAGAAGAGAACTCTGCGTATCTGCGTGTGACCTGAAACATGAACACAACTGGTATCAACAGTTGGTATTATTAGACATTAATACATGAAATACATGTGTGTGTGTGTGTGTGTGTGTGTGTTCATACATAGTGTGGTCTGGTGTCCAGCACGCCCAGTTTCTGGGGGTCCGTGTTGCGGATGCTCTGAATGTTCATCTCCAGGATGAGCTCAAACCTGGGCCACAGCAGTTCCAGCACTGCCTCCCAGTACCTGGCACCCCATGGAGAAACAATTACATAAGCATCAAGGGTCAATTCTGAGTTAAGATGTGTGTTTTCTTTGAACAAATCTATTGACATCAATATGTGATTTTCATTTTACACTTTAGTCATTTAGCAGATACTCTTATCCAGAGCGACTTACAGTAGTGAGTGCATACATTTTCATACTGGTCCTCCGTGGGAATTGAACCCACAATCCTGGCATTGCAAGCGCCATGCTCTACCAACTGAGCCACACGGGACCATTTTCATGAAACAAATTACATTAGCATGTCTCATGTAAGGCCCCAAATGTTACATTTTACAGTACATACAGTAAAAAGACTACTGTATCATAGGTTTTAACAATGAATTGTTTCTGACTTTCCCCTTACATATAACATATACACCGGACAGTTTATTAGGTACACCCATCTAGTACTGGGTTGGATCCCCCCCTTTGCCACCAGAATAGCTTTAATTCTTCAGGGCATGGATTCTACAAGGTGTCGGAAACGTTTGTTGCTCAATTGGTATCAACTGACCTAACACATGCCAGGAAAAAATTCCCCACACCAGTACACTGTCCCAGGCAGGATGGTTCCATGGACTCATGCTGCTTACGTCAAATCCTGACTCTGCCATCAGCATGACGCAACAGGAACTGGGATTCGTCGGACCAGGCAATGTTTTTCCACTCCTCAATTGTCCAGTGCTGGTGATCGCGTGCCAACTGGAGCCGCTTCTTCTTGTTTTTAGCTGATAGGAGTGGAACCTGGTGTGGATGTCTGCTGCAGTAGCCTATCTGTGACAAGGATCGACGAGTTGTGCGTTCCGAGATGCCGTTCTGCACATCACTGTTGTACTGCGCCGTTATTTGTCTTTTTGTGGCCCGCCTGTTAACTTGCATGATTCTTGCCATTCTCCTTCGACCTCTCTCATCAAAGAGCTGTTTTCGCCCACAGGACTGCCGCTGACTGGATGTTTTTTGTTTGTTACACCATTCTCTGTAAACCCTAGACACTGTCGTGAGTGAAAAGCCCAGGAGGGGGGCCGTTTCTGAGATACTAGATCAAGCGCCCCTGGCACCGACGATCATACCACGCTCAAAGTCGCTTAGGTCCCTCGTTTTGCCCATTCTAACGTTCAATCGAACATTAACTAAATGCCTGTATGCCTGCTTTATATAGCAAGCCACAGCCACGATCCATTTTCGTGAACGGGGTGGTGTACCTAATAAACTGTACAGCATACTGCAGGAAATAGGATATGTCCTATATAGCATTATGCTCCGAGTTAAAAGTGTATGGAGTGTCATTTAGTATTTGCGCTGAGAGCGTGTTACTGACTTGTCCAGGGCTGGGATGGTCCTCTTGTTTGTGATGGCTCTAAAACGCAAGATGATGTGGATACACAGGAACACAGCGATGCTGTCGTAACAGTCCGATACATAGGTGGACATGCTCTTCTGTAGGGGAAAGGAGGGAGGGAGGGAGGATGGGAGGAAAGGAGGGAGGGAGGATGGTAGGAAAGGAGGAGGGAGGGAGGATGGTAGGAAAGGAGGGAGGGAGGATGGTAGGAAAGGAAGGAGGGAGGGTGGTAGGAAAGGAGGGAGGGAGGATGGTAGGAAAGGAGGAGGGAGGGAGGATGGTAGGAAAGGAGGGAGGGAGGATGGTAGGAAAGGGAGGAGGGAGGGTGGTAGGAAAGGAGGGAGGGAGGATGGGAGGAAAGGAGGGAGGGAGGATGGTAGGAAAGGAAGGAGGGAGGATGGTAGGAAAGGAAGGAGGGAGGATGGTAGGGAAAGGAAGGAGGGAGGGTGGTAGGGAAAGGAAGGAGGGAGGGTGGTAGGGAAAGGAGGGAGGGAGGATGGTAGGAAAGGAGGGAGGGAGGATGGTAGGGAAAGGAGGGAGGGAGGATGGTAGGGAAAGGAGGGAGGGAGGATGGTAGGGAAAGGAGGGAGGGAGGATGGTAGGGAAAGGAGGGAGGGAGGATGGTAGGGAAAGGAGGGAGGGAGGATGGTAGGAAAGGAGGGAGGGAGGATGGTAGGAAAGGAGGGAGGGAGGATGGTAGGGAAAGGAGAGAGGGAGGATGGTAGGGAAAGGTGGGTATAGGTACGTTAGAGAAAGAGTTAGTCATATCATAATTAGAGACAATCATCATCATCATTTTACAAAAAGAAGGACTCCACTGTTAAACGCTGTGTTATGCCTTAACCATTTTTTTACAGCAATTCTTGTATGAGAAGTCTTATCGTACCAGGAACAAGCTGAGCGTCTTTCCCATGACGCTGTTGAAGAGGTCCAGCGCAGAATTTCCAGCCACCATGAAGAAGTCAGACAGGAAGAGGAACTCTCGACAGCCGTTGTCCAAAAGGGCATAGTGCTGACTGCGGAACAGCGTCTCATAGGGATACTGAGACAGGAGGAAGAAGGTTGGTTGGGTGACATAATAATCTACATCTGCCGCTGTACATTCCTTTGAGATGAGTGTGGTGACAAGAAGGTAGTGAGAGAAGCACAGGTGTATTGGAGCAGTACAGCTTAACGATATCTAGAAGTTTAGGGTTGGCTTCGTGTCTTTACCTCACAACCTTATACTCTATGCATGTTCAAATAATTTCAAAGTAGTACATAACATCTTATAATAAGGTAGGTTAATTTCATTCCAAATGTCTGTTACTCTCATGCAGTAGTATATGGTATAGTTTGGGTGGTCTGATTTGGGTAGTACAGCCCTGCCAGTGGTCTCACCCTGCAGTCCCCTCTCTGGGCAGTGTGGGGGATGAGGATGGGCCCCTCCAGCTCGGCAGGGCTCAGCACGGTCCCCCGCTGGCCCAGGGTGAAGATGGTGTTCCTGCTCTTCAGGGAGGGCTTGGAGAAGAAACCTTTCTTGGCCGTGTCTTCCACTCCCATCAGGTCATCTTTGTCTGCCACCTCCTCATACTGTCAACAGAGAAAGATGTTACGAGAACAGTATTAAATATGATCTGCTAATTTGACTGATATGATACTCGACACTGTTGAAAATGCTGTACCCTCAAACACAACATAGGCCCTACTGTACATTATAGTGAGACTTTGAAACAGCATGCTTTTCCAGAACAATTATATATTGAGCCTATAAACCAAGAGAAGGCATTTTAACTCTCCAATTTAGCCTCCTTCTCTCCCTTAGCACCTGTGTCATTCACTCACCTGTACTTTGAGGAGCCTGCCGCTGTAGGACTTGAAGTAACTGTAGTAGATCTTACTCATAGTGTCCACATACTCATCCCTGATCTCCTTGGCCACTGTCCTTTCGTTTGCCAAGAGGAACTGATAGAAAAACCTAAAGTACGAAGAAACATTTTAGATCTGTGTAGATACATGATTGTGGTGGTGCTTTTTAGTATATGATCCAGTAAGGGAGTGTGTGTGTGTGTGTGTGTGTAATACAGATTTGTAACGATACATGTACCTGTATAGATTTTATGGGAGATGTGGACAGATAGACGGTAGGGAGCACATGTCATATTGATTTCTGTAATGAGAATTTTACTTGACCTAGTCTCTATGATGTTGTAAGTGTTCCTATGTCTGTTTTACGGTATCCAAACATGTGGAAGGTTTTGAAGCAATGAATCAGCCCGTTATAAGCCTATATCATTACCTGTACTTGAGGAGAGTGTTCTGGGGGATTTGATAGTTGGTCATGGGCTTTCTGAAGGAATAAATCTTCTGCAGGATAAATTCTCTGATCTTTGTGACAGCCTGTGGAACAAAATAAAAGCCTGTTTTATACAGAATACCTTTGCTCCGTTACCTTCCACACCATCATTCCTCGCTTATATCTCCTTCTCTTCCCATCCCATCCCATTATCTTTCTCTCTCTCCCTCCCTCCCTGTATCTTCACCTTGATTTTGAGACGGTCCACAATGTCCTGGATGTCAGAGCAGGCCAAAGTCTCCCTGAAGCTGAGCTCTTTGGCAAAATTGATCTTGTTGTTGAGCTCATGGAGCTGCTCAAGGAACTCCTGCTCTGTAACCGGGCTCTCCAGGATTATCCTGCAGAGGGACAAAATGTGGGGAACAATTGTTAGAATACATGCTTACCCATAGGAACACTTACAACATCATAGAGACTGTCAAGTAAATGTCTCGTTAGACATCAATATGACATGTGCTCCCTACCCTCTTTCTATTCACATATCCCATAAAAACTAAACAGGTACATATATCGTTACAAAGCTGTATAAAACACAAACACACACACACACACACACTCCCTTACTGGATCATAGCGCCGGGCACCACCAGCTCATCCACCAGTTGGCTGAGGTGGCTGCGTACGGCCTGCCTGTTCTTCAGCCGCATGTTCATGCTGACCGACTGCTGCTGCAGAGTCTGGATCTCACTGCTGATGGAGGAGAGGTCACTCTGGAAGCCGCTCAGCATGCCCTCCATTCGCTGGAGAGAGAGGGGAAAGGTGAGGACAGAGAGAGAGAGGGAGGTATAGAGAGAGAGAGAGCAAGAGCGAGAGGGGAGAAAATAGATGTATCATTGGCTTCGTTACATATTTTTACAAGGAAATTGCAAAAGCATTCTTTCAAAACCTGCACATGCAAAAATGCTGATCCATTTAGAATGGACTTATGGACTTCTGAAGACACTTGATACACTTTTGATTGAGGGCATAATCCACTCACCTCCAGTATGGAGTCACAGGCTGTGATCTGGTTGTGCAGAGAGGCAATGTTCTGGCTCTCCTTGATATCTGACACAAGCTTGGTCAAGGATTACCTATCAGGGTGAACTACTGTATCTGTCAGGAATTACCATAAATAATGCACAAATTCTTTCACACAATCATTCAAGACATTAATACATTAACGGATACAGTCTTTGATGGAAGCTTGTTCAATCCGTTGGAGTTCATCCTCCACGTGTTTAGAGTATTGCCTGAGGTCAACTCCCTGAAAGAAACAGATTCAGATGAAAGGAAACCATCAGTTGAAGGAATGTAGCCTTATATACAATATATAAAATGAAAACTAACCAAAAATGTAATTAAAACTGAAATGTGTTGATGTTTAGGGACATGCATGGTGCAGCCGTGGTACCATGGTCTTACCGTTTTCAGTGCCTCCTTCACCAAGTCATCTTCAAGATTAGCCTGTATGTGAACTGGGAGGGGAAGTAAAGGAAAGTAGCTAGTTTAATCTCCATTAGGGTCAGTTCTTACATTTATCCAAGACACTGAACTAATTAGCTAAATTACTATTTGGCTATGAACTAATTTTACCAGATGATATGACCATTACTTCATTCAAAAGACAATAATGCTTAAGGACTTACTGTCCACTTCATCCAAGATGAACTCATCTGTGGTCAAGTCCAAGTCACCCAGGTTGAGAGGGGCCATGGCGTCTGTGTCAGGCTTCATCTGTTGAAGAATGACAGTAAATCAACATGTACTTTGTAAAGGAAGATAGAACAATTCAATTAGCTAGCTAGCTACTCCATTCATAAGAGTAAATACTTATCTAACTACTTAAATAGGCCTTTTCAATTGCAGGTTTTAGACAGTTGCTTTATATGTGTCCACCTCTGAGGCCTGGCCCCAAAAAAGTATAGGGCTCTGGTCTACTCTCACTTGGGGCCAGTGGGGACTTCTGAGGTATGGGTCACCTTAGCAGGTAACTTGCTAACTCTGGTGCAGGAACGACGCCCTGGACCATAGCTTTTAACTTGTTAGCAATCAATAAGACTGGCTAGCTAGCCTTGCATCTCTGAATGATGCAATGCAAACATGACAACGACAGGAAACACTACTGTTAATGTAAATCATCAGAAATGTAGCTGGTTAGAGATATAACGGTAGCTTGGCTAGCTAGACAGATCAGAATATCTACTAGTTCGCTAGCTAGCTAGCTACGTAAGTTGTGCTGGTGTTGTCAATGTAAAGAACACAGAGAGCAACATAAGTCGAACAGTCAAGTTATCATAAACATAGATGGTATGGCAGAATCATTAGCTAACGTTACCTCATCTTGTAAATATGCCATGGCATTCGCCGTTGAGTTGACAGTTGTGTTTACATCGGACATAGCACCAGTCACTGCTCCGTCCGCCATCACTTCCAAACCTAAACAAAACTACAAACGTAGTGTGCTCCTCCGCAATGTCCCCGGGATACGTGAGGAAAAACAAAACAACAAAAAACAAAGATCATTTTGAAATTAGTTGAAAATAAATGTATGTTGGATACAATTATTAGACAAATATACACAGTCTTAATGGTATTTTATATTTTATTTATTGGTATATTGTTTAAAAGCTATCTTTTAAATATGTTTTCTCTATCTTGCTCTCTGACCCTACGCACACTCACTGGACTTCACATACACACCATATACATATTCACTCACTCCCACACACTTCACAGGTACTGCCACACAAATCCCTCACACATTCAAACACTACATATGCACTCACACACAACACACACACGCATACCGACACAACACAAACAAACAAAAAGTACCCAATTGTCATACTTGAGTAAAAGTAAAAATACCTTAATAGAAAATGACTCAAGTAAAAGTGAAAGTCAACCCAGTAAAATACTACTTGAGTAAAAGTTATTTTGATTAAAATATAATTAAGTATCAAAATTATATGTAATTGCTAAAATATACAGTGCAAGTCAAAAGTTTGGACACATCTACTCATTCAAGGGTTTTTCTTTATTTTCACTATTTTCTACATTGTAGAATAATAGTGAAGACATAAAAACTATGAAATAACAAATATGGAATCATGTTGTAACCAAAAAAGTGTTAAACAAATTCAAAGTAGCCACCCTTTGCCTTGATGACAGCTTTGCACACTCTTGGCATTCTCTCAACCAGCTTCACCTGGAATACCTTTCCAACAGTCTTGAAGGAGTTCCCACATATGCTGAGCACTTGTTCGCTGCTTTTCCTTCACTCTGCGGTCCAACTCATCCCAAACCATCTCAATTGGGTTGAGGTCGTGGGATTGTGGAGGCCAGGTCATCTGATGAAGCACTCCATCACTCTCCTTCTTGGTCAAATAGCCCTTACACAGCCTGGAGGTGTGTTGGGTCATTGTCTTGTTGAAAAACAAATGATAGTCCCACTAAGCGCAAACCAGATGGGATGGCGTATCGCTGCAGAATGCTGTGGTAGCCATGCTGGTTAAGTGTGCCTTGAATTCTAAATAAATCAACAACAGTGTCACCAGCAAAGCACCCCCACACCCTCACACCTCCTCCTCTATGCTTCACGGTGGGAACACACAACCCTGGCGTTGCAAGCACCATGCTCTACCAACTGAGCTACAGGAGGCTCAGTTTCATCATAGCGCTTGATGGTTTTTGCGACTGCACTTGAAGAAACTTTCAAAGTTCTTTAAATTTTCCGGATTGACTGACCTTCATGTCTTATAGTAATGATGGACTGCCATTTCTCTTTGCTTATTTGAGCTGTTCTTGCCATAATATGGACTACCTCATGAAGCTGGTTGATAGAATGCCAAGAGTGTGCAAAGCTGTCATCAAGGCAAAGGGTGGCTATTTGAAGAATCTCAAATATAAAATATATTTTGATTTGTTTAACACTTTTTTGGTTGCTAAATGATTCCATGTGTTATTTCATAGTTTTGATATCTTCACTATTATTCTACAATGTAGAAATGAGTAAGAATAAAGAAAAACCTTGGAATGAGTAGGTGTGTCCAAACTTTGGACTGGTACTGTACTTAAGTATCAAAAGTAAAAGTATAAATAATTTCAAATTCCTTATATTAAGCAAACCAGACGGCACAATTGTCGTGTTTTTTTAATTTAAGGATAGCCAGGGGCACACTCCAACACTCAGACATAATTTACAAACAAAGCATTTGTGTTTAGTGTATCCGCCAGATCAGAGGCAGTAGAGATGACCAGGGATGTTATCTTGATAAGTGTTTGAATTTGACTATTTTCCTGTCTTGCTAAACATTCAAAATGTAACGAGTTCTTTTGGTGTCAGGGAAAATGTATGGAGTAAAACAAACATTATTTTCTTTAGGAATGTAGTGAAGTAAAAGTAGTCAAAACTATAAATACTAAGTACAGATACCCCCAAAAAACGCCTTCTCTCTCTGCCCAACAGAGACACAAACAATTATCACTAGACCACTTTTGGTTACCCTCACCGATTCCACTATACTGTGGGTATATATTCTCTTACAACTAGATGTGATGCCTAGCTTAGAAAGAATACATTAATGATTAAACATAATAGGTTTGTGCTGTACTGATATAAATTGTTTAACATAACAAGCTGTGATTAATGTGAGGAACCGTTAGGGGGTAGGCTGAGATAGACTTGTGACTCACACACACACACACTGCCTCTTTGTTAAACTGCTCAAGGACATGTGTACTGCAACAGAAACAACTAACACCTGGCAACAGTGAAGCGCCAAGAGGCTGGGACCAGCCTGAGCGCCAACGATAGGTTGGGTAAGTTTAAACCACACCCAGCCTCTACTCTGACAGGCCCAGCAGGGAGCGGGAACTATCTCTGTCAGAGTATTTAAAGAAGAACTTATAACAATAGCTCAGTTCTCTGACTGCCCTGCGTGATGTTTCAGTGGGCCTGTATATACGAACATCATATTTACCATTCAAGTGTTTGCATTAATTAAAATACTAGTCTATTTTAGAAGACGTGTATTGACCTCTTTTTGTTCCTATACCAGATTTGAATTGACGCAATTTAACAATACCCAACGCTTTTTTCACCCCTCTTGAAACCACAAATGGATCAGCCAAAAGGCAAGGAACCACTTTTTCCACAAACTTCACTCCTACTGTCACATACTTTATCCTGACCCTCTGTGCAAGACTCTGGCTCCGAGCACTTCACTAGCGTTTCACTGTAAAGTCTACACCAGTTGTAATCGGCGCATGTGAAAAATGCAATTGGATTTGATTTGTTCCCAGACGGACAAGTTTTGCCGATGGAACCACTTCCTCAGTGAACTCTCGAAACGAACGCAAAAGCCCTCGCGAGAGCTTTGGAATTTCCTCTTTGAACGGAACCTGCTTCCAAGATGGTGAGTGCTGAATTGGGCTACCAAAATTATACTAAATATCTGCATTCATCGTCGCTTTTAGGGTCATTCTGTAAATTGGACAACGATGATAAGATTGTTAAGATTGTTTTTGAGAGCTTTTATCCTGTATTTATTATGTTGAAGTTGCATATATTGATGTAAATGAACAGCCTGCCAATACTAAATTGACCATATACCGCGCTGATACTATGCTGCATGAAGGTACAGCTTTCGTCAATATAGGCTTTGGTTGTGTTTTTTTATTCGCAAAATAGATTGTTGTAACCCATACTTTTACACTAGTTTGTTTGTGTGGTTGGTATTAGCCAAGCAGTTTTTAGCCGTCCTTGTCAACTAGTTTTGGTAATCTCATTGCTACTCATTGTTGGCTGATGTTAAAGTTAGTAAGAACTCGCAGATGGCCAGGTGAAGGCTGGAGATTTTTACACTACATGTTTGCTAGTTTTTCCAGGCTTTGCTTGTGGAAATACAAATTACTAATACTCAGTCACACATTGTTTGCTGCCTAGAAAGCCCACTGCCAGCCCAGGCCTCAGGAAGGACAATGTAGTTAGCAAAGTGAATCTCTCTATTGACCATGTTTGTTCTGTTATTTCTCTGCAGTCTCTGGTCATTCCTGAGAAGTTCCAGCACATTCTTCGTGTTCTCAACACGAACATTGATGGTAGGAGGAAGATTGCCTTCGCCATCACAGCAATCAAGGTAAGCTTGTTCAGAATGTCTTTCTCAGAACCAGGTAGAGATGTCTGCACAGTTGGCAAATGTGGGAATTAACCTAAGTAATTGTTAATGTGTATTACCTGCACAGGGTGTTGGCAGACGATATGCCCATGTTGTCCTGAGGAAGGCTGATATCGACCTCAGCAAGAGGGCTGGAGAACTGACCGATGATGAGGTGAGAGGAATGCATGGGGCAGTTGTGTACATATTGTTTCTCAACATGAAAGCTGTATGTATTGGAGGGGCTGAGGCTGGAATTCAAACAAACCACTGTGCTGGTTGTTTGAATCCCGGCCTTACACTCCTTTCATGGATCATCTTGGATCACTGAGTGAGGTATTGTGATGGGGCCAGTCATCTGCAAACTCAGTCTGCATTGTTGAGTTTCTTTTTCTACCTAGCATCTCACTAATGTTGATGTATACATGCATTTGTCCCCAGGTCGAGAGGGTAGTGACAATTATGCAGAATCCTCGCCAGTACAAAATCCCTGACTGGTTCCTCAACAGACAGAAGGACGTAAAGGATGGCAAGTACAGCCAGGTATGTGACTGCAGCAGACTTGAGACGTCTGGTGACTCATTTCCAAAAATGGAACGAAACTATTTTGAGTTTGTGTTGACGTCCCGTCAATGGTTTATCAATACAAATTGAGTCATTTATTTCTGAAAGCTAAACGGAAATTTGTCTCCCAAGAGTCCAGTCTTACAATGGTCCTTGTGTGTTATAGGTCCTTGCTAACGGTCTGGACAACAAGCTGAGAGAGGATCTTGAGAGGCTGAAGAAGATCAGGGCTCACCGTGGTCTCAGGCATTTCTGGGGGTAAGCGCTGTTCTGACATCCAGCTATATAGGTTTATTTTATGACCCTGGCTGTGAACCCACTCAGAAGGATTTGGGATATGCAACAAAAACATTTTTTTCCCAATTGACATGTGAAATAGGACAAATATAAGCACCCACCAAATTATACATTTTTATATTGCATGGCTGTTTTATGTATTAAATGAAAAGGGAGAAATTCCAATTTTCAGCTAAAGGGCTGGTTTCCCGGACAGACTACTTAGTGCCGGGTTGTTTATTAGGGCACATGGAAAATAAAAACAAGTGTTTCTTGTTGGATGAGTTCAATCCCTATTTTTGGACAACATCCTAATCAATCAAATTGTATTTATAAAGCCCCTTTAACATCAGCAGATATCACAATGTGCTATACAGAAACCCAGCCTAAAACCCCAAACAGCAAGAAATGCAGATGTAACCTTTTGTGATTGGACTAAAAAGCACTTTCAATAGACTCTTTGAATATGCTTGCAAGCCATTCCAGGAAGCTGGCCCTAAATGCTCTGTAAATGGTGTTTAGATTGATCTCTGTACTGCTGAGATGTTATATCAAGAAGGCATTGTTAGCCAATTGATTTTGTAGTCAATTGCAGTAAAACTCTAAATGTTGCACAAGTTCCTTGAGTAAGTGCTTATTGTAGGCATACCAATGTTATGGTATAATGGTATGCACATTCGTCAATGTGTTCAAATAATTTTCAGTGTTTGTCCTACAAACCTACTGTGTTTTCTCACATGTTGACTTCCTGGATACATTTGTACTGACTGACTGTTATCCCTCTCTCTTTCAGTCTGCGTGTGCGTGGCCAGCACACTAAGACCACCGGTCGTCGTGGTCGCACCGTTGGTGTGTCTAAGAAGAAGTAAACTGTCTCCCTGCTCACCATGTGTCAATAAATGCCACAGTTCACACATTTGGCTGTTTGTTCATCTCTTCATACTGAGTTGTTTTGGTGCAGTTGTTTTTGTTGACTCAGATCGGAGCCTCGGTCAGTAGCACTTTTGGCTTTCTTTGCTCCCATGTAGGTAGTTGATTGTCACTTGTTGCCCAGAGACTTCACCCACCTGGGCCACATTCTGTAAACAAAGGTTGTGGGAATGTCATGAATGGAACTCATGAGATTCCTTATTCTACAATTTCAGGTATGTCAATTTCTTCTGAATGTTCCACAATGTTCTGGCCAAGTCTAAATCGATCCCTAATGAGGGGACTGAACACGGGCACTGTAAACAGACCTCAAGGCCAGGATTTGAAAAGGTGGTGTACACTATACTCATACATATACAATGTGGTGTACTTTTGAAAAGGTTGTAGAAGGGATTGGAGTGATGGTCGGATAGAAGTCCTAGGTTTTTGCAATCTAGTAAATGGAATGAAATGCTGCACTGTCCACCTAGGTGTTATGGGTCAAATTCTCATAACATGCAACCAAGTTTCATTTTGGTCAATTATTGCAGAATTGACTAAAGATTAGGCCAATTTACTACACTGAACAAAAATAAATGCAACATTTAGTGTTGGTTTCATGAGCTGAAATAAAACAATCCCAGAAATGTCGCATATGCACAAATCCTATTTCTCTCAAATGTGGCCAAATGTGTTTATTCCTGTTAGTGAGCATTTCTCCTTTGCCAAGACAATCTATCCACCTGACAGGTGTGGCATATCAAGAAGCTGATTAAACAGCATGATCATTACACAGGTGCACCTTGTGCTGGGGACAAAAGGCCACTTTAAAATGTGAAGTTTGGTCACAACACAATGCTCAAGTTTTGCGGGAGCGTGCAGTTTGCATGTTGACTGCGGGAATGTCCACCAGAGCTGTTGCCAGAGAATTGGATCTTAATTTCTCTACCATCAGTCGCCTCAACATAGTTTTAGAGAATTCGGCAGTACGTCCAACCGGCATCACAACCGCAGACCACGCTAGCCCAGGACCTCTACATCAGGCTTCTTCACCTGCTGGATCGTCTGTGGAGGAGGGGGTGGTGCTGAGGAGTATTTCAGTCTGTAATAAAACCCTTTTGTGAGGACAATCATTCTGATTGGCTGGGCCTATGCCCTTCCAGGCCCACCCCTACCCAGTCATGTGAAATCCATAGATTAGGGCCTAATGAATTTATTTCAATTGACTTATTTTCTTAAATGAACTAACTTTTGCGTTAATATTTTCGTGCAGTATAAATTGGCCTATGTAAAATCTGTCTTAACACCGCAATCCTTGCCTTTTTTTTATTGTGCTGAATGGATCAAGAGGAATTGCAATACAAACAAGCTGAGTAACAGTTCCAAGTGGGATATATTGCCTTAATTGTACAAAGATCATAGAAAAACTGAGGTAAGAAAACCCATTATGCCAGCAGAACATACACTGAGTATACAAAACATTAACACCTGCTCTTTCCATGACGGACTATCCAGGTGAAAGCTATGATCCCTTGTTAAATCCACTTCAGTGTAGATGACAGGGAGGAGACAAGTTAAAGGATTTGTAAGCCTTAAAACATGGATTGTATGGGCAAGACAAAAGATTTAAGTACCTTTGAACGGGGTATCGTAAGTGCTAGGCCCACTTGTTTGTGTCAAGAACTAACGCTTAACAGTTTCCTGTGTGTCTCAAGAATGGTCCACCACCCAAAGGACATCCAGTCAACATGGGCCAGCATCCCTGTTGGGAGTGTTCCTAATGTTGAGTATACTCAGTGTATAAAGTGCATCAGGTAAGACTTGATAAAGGAAGTGAAAGGTATGAAGCTAGCATTAGGAAAAAGCCCTGTGGACCCTCTATGCGTCCAAGCTTAGGATAAATCACATTAACTAGCTCAATTCCACCAACCGTTGCTACTTGACGCCCTCCATAAGCGGCATAGTGCATCAGTCATGTCTTAAAGAAATTAAATAGAAATGTCATAAATAGTTACAATTATAAACTAATTTCAAAGCAAGCTGTATTCAGTATAGAAAAGTCCTAATCTACTGCTATATAGCAGTATATTCTTGCATAATATTCAATTCAACCATCCTTTATGACATCTGGTCATCCCAAGTCTGTCTCAAAGGGAAAAAGTTAATCTCCACACAACAGTTTCCAAAGTAAATTACTCACGCTGATCTGAAATGATGTATCAACATAATGTGGCAGTCCTGATGCAATGTCAAGCATCAATACTTGGTGGTCTGTGAAGGTTTGAAAGAAGGCTGGACTACGTAGGTGTTGTCTGGCGGTGTGTGCACCAGTCCAGACAGCATTTTAATTTGTAGGAATTCTAAAAACAACTTCACACTCAGGTTTGATTTGAAGCTACTGAGGAAAAACAGAAAAACTTCAAAGTCTGAGGACAAAGTTGAAGACCTTCAGCAATATATGGAATGTTCCGTATGACTACCTTAGAAGCAGCTACACGCAGCACACATAAATCTTTAAAAGTCTCTCCGACACACATGATCAGTTGGCGGTCAGAGACAGGGAGTGATAAAGGCTGAAGAGGGAGGGCTCCTGTCCTCCTCACCCCTCTTTGGGCTGTGGGGACTTCTGCTGCGGTGGCTGTGGTGGTTGAAGCGGTTGGTCCTTGGTGGGGGCATAGTAGAGCTCCAGAGGCTTTCTGACCTTCCAGTACTTCTCATTCACCAGCTCCAAAGTCAGGGAGCCGTTCAGAGTCTGAGAAAGAGGTACAGAGAAACGTGAGGGAGATGAATAAGTCGAAGAAATATAAAGCAATGGATGAGGATCAAAGTAGAGCAGAAAGGAGAGAGATAAAAATTTTTTTTTAGATATGAGTGACAGAGGTATGAGAATGGGTCAAATAAATAAATTAGATCAAGTCACTGATAATAGCTCCCACCCTGAAAAAAGATAACTGATAAGCTTGTGTACTCACAGAGAACTGGCCCCCTGATGTGGTGATGTAGATGGTGTATTGTTTCTCACTGACGTTCTTCAGGCTGGCCCCTTCTCCTGCTACTGCTTTCTCTCCCTTAGCCCCCGCCTCCCCTCCCTCTTTCCCTTTCTCAGTCGCTGCATCTGGTTGGCTGTCTCTTTGCCTCTCCTCCAGAGCGATGCGCAGAGCCAGGTACTTAGACAGGTGGTCCACTGTGGCGTTGGCTGTGGTCTTCACATATCTGAGACAGGAATGTGACAAAAACAAAACAATTAAAAAGACCCTTCAGGAATACATTCTGAATTGAAATTACCATCATTTATGAAGTCATAACAGAACACCTCACAGCTACCAACCTCCCCACACACACACGCTCAGCCCTCACCTGGTCTGGCTGTACTCCTGTGTGTTGACCAGCAGGGGGTGAGGGCGGAACACCAGCTCTATCTCTGAGCCGGGACCCTCTTTGTGGTGGCGGAGCGGGGCCGTGGGGCTGCCCCCATCCACCTCCGGGCCTGACTCGTCTGACACCCTGGGCCGCTTGGGGTTCCGGCTGGGCCCGGCCTCAGTGGGCATGTGGCTCGGGGGGAGGGGCGCGTGGGAAGGCGCAGAGTCGTGGGAGAGGTGTGACCTCGCGTCCCCGTTGTCCTCGCCGCCGCTGAAGGTTGTGTTGTCGCTCTCCTGCGCCGGTTTGCGCACTCGCTGGGCTCTGGGGCGTCAAGGGTGAGCAAAGAGCGAGAGGCCATTTTAAACTTCCAATCCTCAATAAAGAAGGGACTTTCCCTGACTTGTGCAGTCAGTGGTTTGTTTGTCCACATACTAGGTCTGACAACTCTCCTGATTCCAAGAATCTTTCAACTGAGATTTCTGGGAAACCTATAAACCCTACACCCCATCCCCCCTCATCTCCTACCTGTGCAGCGCCTGCATGCGCAGCCCCTCCTCGATGCTAGAGCTGAGGGCTTGCTTGTTGTGCAGCCGGTTGAGTCTCTCCAGTACCCGGTCCTGGTGGGCCTCGTACTCGTCGCGGCTGGGGTAGATCTTGGAGATGAGGGCGTCGAAGTTGGAGTCGCGGCGCAGGGACCGTCTTGACACAAGCTTCTTTCGGCACGTCGGGCATTCCTTGTTCCTGAGGAGAGGAAAGAGAGTGAGTTAAAGATAAGCTTTTATATAGTATTTTCACATAAATGTAATAACCTTTAGTATGGAGGTTCTCTTCAGATTTAAACTAGAGCACAGTCCAGAGTAGACAGAATGAAGGGTCCTCAAATAGTCACACAGCTGTGCGAGTCCCTCACCCTGATCGGAGTGCAGTGACGATGCAGTCGGAGCAGAAGCGGTGCAGGCACTCCTTGGTGGTCATGGTGTTCTTCAGCATGTCCAGACAGATGGGGCACATCAGCTCACTGTGGAGGCTCCTGGGGGACACCGCTATCTCTGTGCTGTCCATGATCGCCTCCTAGAGGCAGGGAGGGGAATGTCACACAATACAGGCACAGGTTAGTCTATGATGGCCCATCCATGTTCTTCATGGGTCAGCTTTAAACTGATTGACCATGGCCCTGTTTTAAATGGTCCAAAAAAAAAGCATCCTTCCTTCCATGGGACTTTCACAAGTAGGTGAGATCAATGCTTCCACAGTTCCTCGCATCGATTTTTGTTATCTGAGAAACTATAAAAATAACTGAACTTCTGTTTCTGAGAATGCAATACAATGCTGTTATATCACTTCTCACCTGGATGCATTTGTCAGTATTCCTATGTGGAAAGTGACTGTCATTACCTGTGGGCTCCTGTGCAGCTCATACAAGCTTAGCTCCCACGTCTTACTGGGGTTTTGGATGTTGACTGGAGTCCCCATTTTGTGTTTTATAGACCTCTCCCTATTGAAATGCATGAAACACGTTTAAGATTAATGTTACACAGAAGAGCTGTGTAAAGGTTAAATTGCAGTTGATTGCATTACATCACTTTGACAGCTGTCAAGACAAGTGATGAATGAGACTGAAGTATTTGGGCACACAGGCTATCTGGTAATAATAATGCAGTAAAAAACACAATGGAAGATGTTTTTGTTAAGAATTGGGTCTGCTAGCTAGTTGTTCTAAAAACAGTCAAATGTCCATGGCAATGCAGTTAGCGAGCCTAACTACATCTCATTACACTCTCCTTCCTTGACATTTCATACACAATGAGGGAGGGTGCATGTATGTCCTCCTTTGTTGTATCGTAGCTACTTTTGTAGACAACTTCTTTGGTCAAAATGACGTGCATTGAGTAAACTGTCAGACTTCGGTAGAATCGTAATGCCACACTAGTGTCATGCTATCCATGTGTAGCTAGCGTACCATTTTGTTTTGGTAAAAACTTTTTTAAAAGGTTACTCGCTGTCTAGCTAGTTAGGGGGACTAGCTAGCCTAGCTAGTGGCTACTTACCAAGGAATTTGACGGACAGCTGGCCGGTGAGGCTAGGCTAGCCCACGCAGTACAACTAGCTAGCTTGCTACGAACACCGGATTGTAACGAGATACTTTCAAGCTCGTGCCACTATGACCACCGTGTGACGGGATTCTTTTCCATCACGATGTATGTTGGTGGGGGGTGATACTATCGCTATTTTTCATCCAGAATGACAATATTTAATCAAAGACGAAAGGTTTGGAAACCCTCTGTAGCCATCTTACTCTCTTTTCGCCGGATATGTGGAAAATAGCTCAGTCTGTTCTCTACCCCTGGTGGTTATTTGGCGAATTGCACGCAAAGAGAGAACTTTCGTGAGTGTAATGTTTACTGTAAATGTGTTATTGTTTATTTCACTTTTGTTTATTATCTATTTCACTTGCTTTGGCAATGTAAACATATGTTTCCCATTCCAATAAAGCCCTTCAATTGAAATTGAATTGATATATACATATATATATATATATATATATATATATATATATATATAGATAATAAACAAAAGTTAAATAAACAAAAAATTAACAGTAAACATTACACTCACAAAAGTTCGAAAATAATAAAGACATTTCAAATGTCATATTATGTCTATATATACACTTTTGTTTATTATCTATTTCACTTACTTTGGCAATGTAAATATACAGTGGAAGTCGGAAGTTTACATACACTTAGGTTGGAGTCATTAAAACTAGTTTTTCAACCACTCCACAAATTTCTTGTTAACAAACTATAGTTTTGGCAAGTGGTTAGGACATCTACTTTGTGCATGACACAAGTAATTTTTCCAACAATTGTTTACAGACAGATTATTTCACTTATAATTCACTGTATCACAATTCCAGTGGGTCAGAAGTTTACATACACTAAGTTGACGTGCCTTTAAACAGCGTGGAAAATTCCAGAAAATTATGTCATGGCTTTAGAAGCTTCTGATAGGCTAACTGACATCATTTTAGTCAATTGGAGGTGTACCTGTGGATGTATTTCAAGGCCTACCTTCAAACTCAGTGCCTCTTTGCTTGAAATCATGGGAAAATCTAAAGAAATCAGCCAAGACCTCAGAAAAAAAATTGTACACCTCCACAAGTCTGGTTCATTCTTGGGAGCAATTTCCAAACGCCTGAAGGTACCACGTTCATCTGTACAAACAATAGTACGCAAGTATAAACACCATGGGACCACGCAGCCGTCATACCACTCAGGAAGGAGATGCGTTCTGTCTCCTAGAGATGAACGTACTTTGGTGCAAAAAGTGCAAATCAATCCCAGAACAACAGCAAAGGACCTTGTGAAGATGCTGGAGGAAACAGGTACAAAAGTATCTATATCCACAGTAAAACGAGTCCTATATCGACATAACCTGAAAGGCCGCTCAGCAAGGAAGAAGCCACTGCTCCAAAGCCGCCATAAAAAAGCCAGGTTTGCAACTGCACATGGGGACAAAAATCATACTTTTTGGAGAAATGTCCTCTGGTCTGATGAAACAAAAATATAACTGTTTGGCCATAATGACCATTGTTATGTTTGGAGGAAAAAGGGGGTTGCTTACAAGCCGAAGAACACCATCCCAGCCGTGAAGCACGTGGGTGGCAGCATCATGCTGTGGGGGTGCTTTGCTGCAGGAGGGACTGGTGCACTTCACAAAATAGATGGCATCATGAGGAAGGAAATTTATGTGGATATATTGAAGCAACATCTCAAGACATCAGTCAGGAAGTTAAAGCTTGGTCGCAAATTGGTCTTCCAAATGGACAATGACCCCAAGCATACTTCCAAAGTTGTGGCAAAATGGCTTAAGGACAACAAAGTCAAGGTATTGGAGTGGCCATCACAAACCCCTGACCTCAATCCTATAGAAAATGTGTGGGCAGAACTGAAAAAGCGTGTGCGAGCAAGGAGGCCTACAAACCTGACTCAGTTACACCAGCTCTGTCAGGAGGAATGGGCCAAAATTCACCCAACTGATTGTGGGAAGCTTGTGGAAGGCTACCCGAAACGTTTGACCCAAGTTAAACAATTTAAAGGCAATGCTACCAAATACTAATTGAGTGTATGTAAACTTCTGACCCACTGGGAATGTGATGAAATAAATAAAAGCTGAAATAAATCATTCTCTCTACTATTATTCTGACATTTCACATTCTTAAAATAAAGTGGTGATCCTAACTGACCTAAGACAGGGAATTTTTACTAGGATTAAATGTCAGGAATTGTGAAAAACTGAGTTTAAATGTATTTGGCTAAGGTGTATGTAAACTTCCGACTTCAACTGTATGTTTCCCATGCCAATAAAGCCCTGAAATTTGAGAGAGAGAGAGAGAGAGAGAGAGAGAGAGAGAGAGAGAGAGAGAGAGAATACAAACACCATGTTACGATTACGGACTAACATTTTAGGCCTGAACAAATCATGTATTGCAATTCTGACGTAGAGTAATACCTTTCAGAGTTTTGGTAGTTTCATCTCACCCCCCCCCCCCCCCCCCCCCCCAAAAAAAAAGTACACCAAACGGCCTGTGAGGAATGCTACGAGAACAAGCATAACGCAGTATACAAACCGGAAGTCAGGGCAACCGGAAAGAGGTATCCTGTTTTCAAGTTAAAAGTCTCCATTCTCTATTACTCAGTTGAGTTCACTTCACATTTAGATAGCTAATGTAATGGATTTGTTTGCACATTATCAAAATATGACTCATTAAATATTGTACCATCCCATTCTCTGGCTGCAATCATAACCAGTAGTATCTACCAGGAATATTGAAGCATAGAATAATAATAGATGTTTGGTGAATCTATGAATTATGTATGACCACTGGAGTCTTTGCCACTCAAAAAAAATTTTTATAGAATATTTTGATATTTACTTCATCACTCAAAATCTTGCCAGAGCATATTCTGTAGGAGGGGTTAATATGAATTTAAAATAATTTGACATGATTTATATGAACCGGATCATGAACATATGGACTTTGAAATGAATAAGGGAGAGGTTAAACGTAGGCTAAATCTGGCATAAGCTTATTCCCACACTTTACAATAACTATGTTGCAGTGTTCTTAGGTAGTCTCCCTATAGGCTATTCCCTCCATCGTGACACTGCTGCCCAGTTGAAGAGCTTGTGACTAGCTAACTTTGACTAGCTACAGTGGGGGGAAAAAGTATTTAGTCAGCCACCAATTGTGCAAGTTCTCCCACTTAAAAAGATGAGAGAGGCCTGTAATTTTCATCATAGGTACACGTCAACTATGACAGACAAATTGAGGAAAAAAAATCCAGAAAATCACATTGTAGGATTTTTTATGAATTTATTTGCAAATTATGGTGGAAAATAAGTATTTGGTCAATAACAAAAGTTTCTCAATACTTTGTTATATACCCTTTGTTGGCAATGACACAGGTCAAACGTTTTCTGTAAGTCTTCACAAGGTTTTCACACACTGTTGCTGGTATTTTGGCCCATTCCTCCATGCAGATCTCCTCTAGAACAGTGATGTTTTGGGGCTGTCGCTGGGCAACACAGACTTTCAACTCCCTCCAAAGATAAACTCCCATATCTAATACCACAGTGCGCAATCACAGCAGGAAGATGTGGGACCTGTTGCCACAAGAAAAGGGCAACCAGTGAAGAACAAACACCATTGTAAATACAACCCATATTTCAGTTTATATATTTACTTTAACTATTTGCACATCATTACTACACTGTATATAGACATATGACATTTGAAATGTCTTTATTCTTTTGGAACTTTTGTGAGTGTAATGTTTACTGTAAATTTTTATATTGTTTATTTCACTTTTGTCTATCTATTTCACTTGCTTTGGCAATGTAAATATGTTTCCCATGCCAATAAAGCCCCTTAAATTGAAAATTAGAGAGAGAGAGATGATTTTGATAGCAACAGTGAATATATTTAGTTATTAAGAGATCTCTCAATAATCATTCTCATGCACATTGTTAGTAGTTAGTGACAAATATCAAATCTAAGCAGGGCTTGGATTAGTTAAAACCCTGGATGGGAAACCAAATGAAAAGCTGTAGATACTGTAGATCAACTCTACAGTAGGTAGCCTGGTTTCATATACTAGACGTAACACAGTAAATGTACAAAATAATATGATATGTTCAGCATGGTTACATAAGACAGATGGTTATTTAAGGCAAAAAAACGAAAGTAGGGTGGTTGGTCGGGGTGGATAGGTGGACGTATAATGTGAACGTCTAGCAATTTTTCATGTCAGCCGCATGAAAAATGTACGAATTGACTGGAAACTGGGTGGTATACACTCCAAATTGTGCATTGTGGTTTGAGGAGAACACTTACATTTTGTCTAGGCGGAGATGAGTGGCCGAGATGCTCGCTGATGATTCGGAGATGAGTGGCCGTGACTGAGGCCCAC